AAAAAAAAAAGATAAAGGATACAAACTCAGACAATGGCCAGGATTTTTATTTTTTATTTATTTATTTTTTTTGAGACAGGTTCCCACTATGTCACCCAGGCTGGAGTGCAGTGGCTTGATCTCAGCTTACTGCAGCCTTGACCTCCCTGGCTCAAGCAATCCTCTGGCCTCAGCCGTCCCCCTTGCCACCCCCCCAGTATCTGGGACTAGAGGCATGCACCACCATGCCAGACTAATTTTTGTATTTTTTGTAGAGCCAGGCTTTCACCATGTTGCCCAGGCTGGGCTCAAACTCCTGGGCTCAAGAGATCCTCATGCTTCTGCCTCCCAACAGGCTCGGATTATAGGCACTGAGCCAGTGTCCCCAGTCCTTAAATTTTTGTATGTGTTTCATGTTCACAGTTTTTAAAAATACTAGTTTTCAAAAGCTCATTTAAAAAAATAAAAGTCCCCTGTCCCTCCTATCCCCATTCCCAATCCCAGGACAAAACCACTTTTGAATCTTTAAGGAGCTTCTTTTGGTAATTCACTTCATGCCTCTAAGTGACATGCTTACTTATTGATTTAATTGTATGTTTGTTTGGGTTTTTTTGACAGAATCTCTGTCACCCAGGCTGGAGTGTAGTGGCACAATCTGGACTCACTGCAGCCTCCACCTCCCGGGTTCAAGCAATTATTCTTTCTCAGCCTACCAAGTAGCTGGGAGTATAGGCACACACGACCACGCTGGCCAATTTTTGTATTTTTAGTAGAGACGGGGGTTTGACCATATTGGCCAGGCTGGTCTTGAACCCCTGACCTCATGATGCACCCGCCTCAGTCTCCCAAAATGCGGGGATTACAGGCATGAGCTACCGCGCCCGGACCAAGGACAGTTCTTTATATACATTTGATTTATGAAAATTTATGGCCATACTTTTTTTACTTCCTCTGGCCAGCCCTGTCCATGGGCCAGTGTTTGGGAGCTCTGGAATCAGGTGCTGCAGAGCCCCATCCACATTCCTGGCTGTCCCCAGCCCCTGCCCACACTTGGTACCCAGAGCCCACAGCTATGCTAGTGCCAACTGGGAGCTCTCCTCTTCCTGTGTGCTCTACCTGGTTACTTTTGCAGGGACCATTGCAGAATTCAGCCTCTCCCTCACCCGCCACCCACCCACTCTCAGAGGCTAGCCTGGTATCTCTTAAATATTTCTTGGATCTTCAACATCCTGCCAACTTGCCTCCCTTCTTCCAGGCCATGCCCCTCAACCCTTCCTCTACACTGAACCAGTGAACTATCAAGCTCCCCTAAAAATTCTTCAGTGGCTGCCAGCACCTATAATATCTAAGGCTTGGCAAGGCAAATATGACTCTAATCTCCCTGGGCCTTCCCCTTCTGCTGCTTTCCTCCTTCCCTGCTGAATGTTCGTGTTCTTGTTGCAAGGATTCCTCACTGCTGTGTTTCTTTTTTTTTTTTTTAATTGCATTTTAGGTTTTGGGGTACATGTGAAGAACATGCAAGATTGTTGCATAGGTACACACATAGCAGTGTGATTTGCTGCCTTCCTCCCCTTCACCTATATCTGGCATTTCTCCCCGTGCTCTCTCTCCCCAACTCCCCACCCCACACTGTCCCTCCCCTATTTCCCTGCGAAAGACCCTAGTGTGTGATGCTTCCCTCCCTGTGTCCATGTGTTCTCATCGTTCAACACCCACCTATGAGTGAGAACATGTGGTGTTTGATTTTCTGTCCTTGTGTCAGTTTGCTGAGAATGATGGCTTCCAGGTTCATCCATGTCTCTACAAAGGACATGAAACTCATCATTTTTTATGGCTGCATAGTATTCCATGGTGTATATGTGTCACATTTACCCTGTCCAGTCTGTCATCGATGGGCATTTGGGTTGGTTCCAGGTCTTTGCTACTGTAAACAGTGCTGCAGTGAACATTTGTGTGCATATGTCCTTATAGTAGAACGATTTATAATCCTTTGGATGTATACCCAGTAATGTGATTGCTGGCAAATAGAATTTCTATTTCTAGGTCCTTGAGGAATCGCTATACTGTCTTCCACAATGGTTGAACTAATTTACACTCCCACCAACAGTGTAAAAAAAAATATGGAATGCTTCACGAATTTGCGTGTCATCCTTGCGCAGGGGCCATGCTAATCTCTGTGTCATTCCAATTTTAGTATATGTGCTTCTGAAGCAAGCACACTGCTGTATTTCTTACCCCTGTGCCTTTGGCCCAGCTGGTCTGGGACAGCTTGGGAAGTCCTTCCAGCCCTTAAACTTTTCTCTTGCTTCCTCATCTCTAAAGCTTTAAGCCAGGGCCTGCCTCCTTCAGGAAGACCTCCCTTCCCCAACCATTTCTTGCTCCCCTGTCTTCATGTCACCCACCCTGGATGGGTCCCCTTCCTCCTTCTCCCTGGGCATATCTACACTGATGGGCTTGCCACACAGTTGTGTTTATTCCACAAGAGTCTGTTTCCCCGGCATTAGGCAGGCTATGAACTTGAGGGCCAGGACTGTGATTTTTTTTTTTTTTTTTTCTTTTTTGAGACAGAGTCTCACTCCGTCTTGCCCAGGCTGGAGTGCAGTGCAATGGCGCGATCTCGGCTCACTGCCACCTCCGCTTCCCAGGTCAAGCAGTTCTCTGCCTCAGCCTCCTGAGTAGCTGGGATTATAGGCACCCGCCACCACGCCCAGTTAATTAGGACCATGATTTAACTGTCTTTACATGATCACCATCCAGCACAGTTCCTAACATGTAATAGGTGTACAACAAATGTTTACTGAAACAGTAGATGAGTAGTCACATGACACTTAGCTCACATTTTGCTGGCATACAGTTTTTTTGGGTATATGGTGCTCTCTGAGTGTATTATACTATCTTTGAGGTCAAAGACCATCTCTTACTTATCTGAACCCTCCCAATAGCACCCAGGGCTCACAGTAAGTGCTCAGTGGCTATGTTCATCCTGAATGAGTGAAATGACAGGTGGGCCAGAGCCCTGGCCTAATCCCAGCATTGGCAGAAACAGCAGGGCCAGCCGGCTTTGCCTGGCCCTGTTTTCTCCAGGCCTTCCCACCCTGGAGTGGCTGGGGCCCAGCTGCAGAAGGGAGGCCCTCACCCCCCATACTCCTCTGACCCACTCAGAGACAGAAGAAGGAAGCTGTGATAAAAGACCGTGACCCCCTCCTCTGCCAGCTGAGGATGAGAAAGGGAGCTGGATGGGGAAAGGGGCAGAGCAGAAGCACACACCATCTGTGTTCTTGTGTAAAATACATGGTATATATGGGAGAGTATGTAACATGCACATATGCAGTGTGAAAAAAAATAAACTCCTGTGTACCCAACATGCAGGTCAATGAAGAGTATTCCAAGCCCATGTGCTCCTCCTTGACACATTTGCCCCAAGAGAGCCTCCACCTTGAATTTGATGATAATCCTCCCCTTACCTTTTTTTTTTTTTTTTTTTTTTTTTAATTAGATGGGGTTTCACCATGATGGCCAGGCTGGTCTTGAACTCCTGACCTCAGGTGATCCACTCACCTCAGCCTCCCAAAGTGCTAGGATTACAAGCGTGAGCCACCACGCCCGGCTCCTCCCCTTACCTTTCTTGATGGCTTCCTGCCTCTGTATAGATCCCTGAACAATATTAAGTAGCCTGATTTCCAACTTTCTATAGCTGGATTCATACCATATATATATATTCTTCCATGTCTTGCTTTTTCATTCATTATATAGGTTTTGTTTTCTTGTTTTTTTGTTTTGTTTTGAAACAGGGTCTCACTCTGTTCATGATCACAGCTCACTACAGCCTCAACCTCCTGGGCTCAAGCCATCCTCCCACCTGGGCCTCCAAGGTAACTGGGATTACAGGGGTGTGCTATGATGCTCAGCTAATTTTTGTATTTTTTGTAGGGATTGGGTTTCACCATGTTGCCCAGGCTGGTCTCAAACTCCTGGGCTTAAGGGATCTGCCTGCCTTGGGCTCCTGAAGTGGCCTCCATGCCTAGTTCTTTTGAATTTTTTATTGTTTTTGAGACAGGGCCTCACTTTGTCACCCAGTCTGGAGTGTAGCGGCACAGTCATGACTAACTACAGCCTTGACCTCCCAGGCTCAAGTGATTCTCCCACCTCATCCTCTCCAGTAGCTGGGATTGTAGACCCAGTTCAGCTATTTCTTTATTTTCTTAAATGTTTGTAGAGACAGGGTCTCACCATGTTGCCCAAGCTGGTCTCCTAAGCTCAAGTCATCTTCCTGCTTCGGCCTCCCAAAGTGCTGGGATTACAGGTGTGAGCCACAGCACCCAGCCTCATTCATGTTAATGAGCAGGACTGTAATCCCTTCCATTTTTTTTCCCCATAATGTGGAAATATAACAATTTAATTGTCCATTCTACTGTTGATGGACATTTGGGCTGTTTCTAGTTTGGGGCTATTCTAAATATTCCTGGCCAGACGCAGTGGCTCATGCCTATAATCCCAGCACTTTGGGAGGTGAGGCGGGTGAGTCACCTGAGGTCAGGAGTTTGA